TGCGGCGGACGTCTCCGAGAGGACACGTCGCCGGGTGAGACACTGACCGCCCTTACAAGCCTGAGAGAGGCCCAGGCCATCTTCTCCCCATGTGGCGCCTCCGCTGGGCCGAGGAGAGGAACACAGTAAAAACCCCCCCCTTCGTTATCGAAGGTCCCCAGTAAGAGATGTTCCTAATAGAGAGATGTCCTGGGGGTGAGGAGCGCAGCATCATTAACGGGGTCTCATTTTATAGAGACCTGGTCCCCCCCCCACCTCAATAATACTGCACACCCCACAGGCTGCGGCACCCTTGTCTCTCTGCATTTGGGGGGGCAGAGCCCCATGCAGATACGGCCAGCAGGTGCTCGGTAACTCATGGTCCCTCGTTACCGGGTTGGGGGTGATGGAGCCCCAGCTACACAGCAGTCCGAGAGGCCCAGATTCAGCTCCCCAGCTCTGCTCATCTCATGAACGGCTCGCGCCCAGGGGAGCTGCAGGCTCGCACCCCGATATCATAGGCGAGACCCTCCTCTCTCGGCCCTGCGCGCGCCCCAGAACGCCAGGATCTGAAACCGCCCGGAGCTGTGAAGCTGTCGGACTCGGTAGCAGCTCGCGGGTTCAGCCAAGGCGCCCCAGGAAGATGTGAAATCGTTTCCTCGGCGGCGCAGGCGATAATGATGTTAATTGCCTGCACTTAGAGGTGAAATTTAATAGCGGGGCCCAGCAATAATTCCGATTCACCTGGAAAATTCCAGTCACGCTGGGGTCACGGCGCAGTGGGGGCGCCTGCTCGGAGTGGCTCCGGGGCCCAGCGGCGGGACGCCGGGAGAAATTTGATTTGGGAAAACCGGACGAAAGAATGGAGCCCTGGTCCGCGTGGCCTGGCGCTCCGGCAGCTCCAGGTGTCTTCAATAAGCGTGCCTGGCGCGGGGAGGGCGGCTCTCCGGAGTCGGGGAGACGTACCCCAGGCTGTCCTCTCGCTGGTCGGGTGGCGCCAGCGAGGTCGGGCACCTCGTAAAGCTGCTGGAGCTGTGCCTGCAGGGGGGGGCCGACTTCACCCCCCCACCGGCACCCCGTAAAACAGGCCTGACAAATTGGAGCTGATTTTTCCTTGCGGAAGCCGGGGCAGTATCGGGGGGGGGGGGGGGGTTGTTGGGGGCGGGGGGGTTGGGGGGGGGGGGGTTAACCCCTGCCTGTCCACGGCTCTGCCCGACTCCGCTCCCCCTCTCCTCTCTCCCGCAGGTCCTGATGGACAAGAGGGTCGGGCTGAAGAGGTACGAGGTGGACGGCCGCAAGGTCCTGTTTTATTTTGATGAGGTAATTGCTCCTGCCCCCTCTCCACCCCCGCGCACACAGCTCCCTTCACTCCAGAATTGTTTTGGATCGAGCCTACATGCTGACCCAGTTCTGCAGAACTGAGAAAGAGGCAGCCTGCTTTAACTCGCTCGGTTCCGAAGGGGTCGGGGAGATCTTGCTCTGAGCTGAAAGGGCAGGGCCATCAACACCGAGTCTGTAGCCGTCCACCACCAGGGCTGAGCCCTCCTGACACCGCTGCACCGCCGTGGGAAACAACTGGACTGGATCTCTCTGGACCAGGGTGGACGCCCACCTCTGTGACAGCTGGATCTCTCTGGAC